AGGCCGGGCTGTCACCGGTCCCCAGCCACGAGTGGCAAAACACTCGCGTGGAGCAGGTTCAAGTCCTGCGGGAAGCTCCTCGCAGCCCAGAGCCGAGGGGCCCCGTGTGCTGGCACCGGCCACCACCCAGGGAGGTGTGCGGAGGGACCTCATGCCCACCCTCAGCACCCCATCCCTGCCCTCACCCCAAAGCCCCCTTGTCCCCTTCTCGTGGCTCCCCCAAGGGACATGACCCCAGGTCCCTGCTCCAGTCCCCCCAGGCTGGAGCAGCAGCGGAAGAGGTGCAGCTTCTCCCTTTGCTGGGGCTGTGCCGCAGGGACACCCCAAGGGGCTCACAGCATCCAAAACAGGGTCCTTCCAGTCAACCCCCACACTGTGGTGTCCCACAGCTGCCCCAGCAGCACCCAGAGGCGCACCCAACCCTTGGTGTTGGGGGGGCAGGGCTGGGTCCAACCGGCCACGTTGCTGCTCGCTTCACCAGGTGAGAGAAGTGTGCACCCAGTGTCCCCCTCCCCACCCCGCCCTGAAGGGCTGCACCCAGGGGTGCCGCAGCAATGTGGCGCCAAACGAGGGAGTCACAGTGTTCCGGCTTGTTCAGTGCCACCCTGAGTCACCCAGTGGCTTCAGGGCTAGAGGAAGCAGGGACATGAGGGGGTGGCATGTCCCAAACCATGGAGAGAGAGAGACCCTGATGCCTTTTCCCCCGCCCTGTTGTGTAGGTCCTACATAAACACAGGGAGAGCAGCACACAAGCAGCATGATGGTGCACACAAGAGCAGCCATGCAGAAGCAGTCACCAGCCCACTCTGTTCTGGGGGGCTGCAGCGAGCAGAGGTAGAGGGTGAGAAACATGATGCCACCATGTGCTGGGTGGTGATGGGGGGTGTCAGGGTGGGGGCACCCCAGGGGGCTCAGATGTTCTGGCAGCAGGGCGCCTGCCTGCTCTCCTGCTGCGTGGGCAGCACCCGGATGGGCTCAATGGTCGTGGTGGGGCCAAACTCTGACTCCGGCTGCCCAGTGATCTGCCTCTGTGACACAATGTGGTAGATCTCTGCCAGCAAAGAAAGCAGAAAAGGAAAAAAAAAATATTTAAGTATATATTCCAGTGGGGGACCTGCCCCCTCCCAAAACACACAGCTCAAGGGGGACACATGCCCACATCTCCCCATCAGGGTAGCAGGATCCCACCCCAGGATGTACAGCCAGGGTCCCCGGCAGGGAGGACACGATGTCTGAAACCGTCTCCGTGTTGTTCCCCCTGCCCCTTTCCTGGTTGCCCCTTACCCGAGAGGATGTTGTGGAAAGCCGTCTCCACGTTGGTGGAGTCCAGAGCAGAAGTCTCGAGGAAGGACAGCCCGTTCTTCTCTGCAAGGACAGGGCAAGCTCAGACGGGTGCTGTGAGCTGCAGCCTTCCTGGGATGGGATAGGGCAGGGCAAGACGGGGGAGATACCTGCAAAGCTCCTGGCCTCGTCGGTGGGCACGGCCCGCAGGTGCCGCAGGTCACTCTTGTTGCCCACCAGCATGATGACAATGTTGGCGTCAGCATGGTCCTGCAGCTCCTTCAGCCAGCGCTCGGCGTTCTCGTACGTCAGGTACTTGGCGATGTCGTAGACGAGCAGAGCTCCCACCGCCCCCCGGTAGTACCTGGGGGACGGCGAGGGGACAGGGTCACAGCAGGGCCCCAGGTGAGGGACACGGGTGGGGTGCAAGGAAACTCACGCTGAGGTGATGGCCCGGTACCGCTCCTGCCCGGCCGTGTCCCAGATCTGAGCCTTCACAGTCTTGTTGTCCACCTGGATGCTCCTTGTGGCAAACTCCACCCCGATGGTGCTCTTGCTCTCCAGGTTGAACTCATTGCGGGTGAAGCGCGAGAGCAGGTTGCTCTTTCCCACCCCGGAGTCCCCGATGAGCACAACTGGGAGGGCACAAGCGCAGTGTCAGCCCCCCTAGACACCCAAAGGCTTTTGCACCCTGCAGTGCCCACCAGCCCAGCCCACCCCACAGCCCAGCAGGGCTCTCCCCACCGGCCCCCAGCCCAGACCTCACCTTCGTTTCATTCGGGGAGAAGCTGCCGGGTGAGGGGGCTGCTCTTCCCAGCGGCGCCGCACGTGAATGCCCCGCAAGAAAATTCCTGCCGTCGCCTGGAAGTTGCCAGGGGTTTCCTTCCCGGCACCAGGGACGGGAAGGCACCGTATGCACCTACGTGCGCCAAATGGGCAGAAAGCCAGGACCTGGGCGGCGACCAGAGGAGAGGCCAAGCAGAACTGGGTCCCCTATTTCCAACCCACTCTTCCCAGCGGCGCCGCACGTGAATGCCCCGCAAGAAAATTCCTGCCGTCGCCTGGAAGTTGCCAGGGGTTTCCTTCCCGGCACCAGGGACGGGAAGGCACCGTATGCACCTACGTGCGCCAAATGGGCAGAAAGCCAGGACCTGGGCGGCGACCAGAGGAGAGGCCAAGCAGAACTGGGTCCCCTATTTCCAACCCAAGTTCCAACCCTGAGGGCACACGGAGGACTTCAAGACCTGGGCTGAAAGGAAGCATCCTCTTCCTCCTCCTCCTCCGCTGCTGCTGGTGCAGCCTGTGAGCCAGAAAGTCCCTGGTGTGGGCGAGTCAAGTGCATTTTCTGCCTGGCCCAGATTTGGCTGGTTCCTGTAAAACCTGGTGCAACAGGCTCCGGGGAGGCTTTATCCTGCAGCTCCCCTACCAACTTTGTTGAGTTTATGACCCAACGAGGTTTTATTTTTTTTGTTATTTCCCCACTGCTAATGTTGTGCCTTCTGCAGGTGCGCTGAAACGCAGCCCCCTTCACCCACCCTCAGGGGACCAAGCCTGGGGGACACTTCTCCCCACCAGGATCAGACAACAGCAGGGCTGAACACAACCATCCAGCGACCACGCTGGAGCAGCAACACCAGCAAGGGACCACCAGCTACGCCACACCGCTGCAGGTGTCACCAGGGCTGCAAAGCACGCTGCAGGGTTTGCAGCGAGCATCTACACTCGTTCAAGGCTCAGCAGCCGCCGTCCTCCAAGGATGTTGCCCTGTGTCCCGGAGAACCCCTTCCCCATCAGCTCCAGCTCATGGGGACTCAGCTCCCTTGCATGGGCCGGGATGCAAAGCCTCCAACAGCGTAGCCACCCCCTTGCCAAAACCCAGCAAACAGCGTTGCTCCATGAAGCCCAACAGCATGCGGAACAGCACCCCGTGATCGCCGAGGGCGGCTGGCAGGCACCGGAGCCTTGCTGGCAATCGCCACGTCAGGGCGACCAGCAGGAGAGGGAAGGGTGGCTCCTCCACGCCGCTCGGAAAGCCGCTGCGCACTACGTGGAGGCCCGGCAGGACCGTGACAGTCTGGGCTACCCTGGACTAACCAGCAGACAAGTGCAGGCCAGCGATGAGCCAGGTTCGTTAACACTTACTGAGCCTTGCCACTTGGATCTGCGCTTGGCGTTTAATCAACGGGAAGTTGCTACTTCCCCCGGCTCAACCGCCGTGTCCCCCATCCCCGCAGGGCCTTTTTTGGGCCGGGGGCCAGCGCACCCGACGCCGGCAGGAGCCCTGGCTGCCAGGAGGCGGCACCAAGCACAGCCAGGGGAAACTGAGGCACGAGCATGCTGTGCTGCATCAACCCCTGCAGCCAGCAAAAAGGAGTATTGGTACGGGAAAGCCTTAGGAAACCGGGCTGGGGGAGGGAGGACGGAGCAGAGCCAGCCCGTGCCGGGCACACGCTGACCCCGCGCAGCCCCCCATGGCTGTGGCATGCTCCCCGCACGCTTTCCGCCACACCAGGGATGCGGAGAGGGGGGCAGATGGGGCAGGGATCCCGCAGCCTTCAGGACACCTCGATGCAGAGAGGCTACGTGCTCAGCCCCATTCCTCTGAGCTTCAAGGGCAAGGGGGACTCGAGCAAGCACCCTCCTCCCCACACACAAAAACATTTGACACGCTCGGTCCTCGCTGCCTCCAAACGTGCAGCATGAGCTGCCCAAAGCAGAGAGCACACATCCTGCGAGCGGCGGTGAAACATCCTTGACACAGCACGTCCCACCCCAGAGGTGGGGATGGAAACAGCCTGGAGCTCCTCACCGGGGCCCCGAGGAAGGAGCAGCCATGCCCAGGGCAATCTCTCAATCTGCCCCTCCAGCAGCATCGAGGACCTTCCCATGAAAACAGCTGGGATTTGCGTCATGATTTGGAACAGAACGCAGCTGATGCTCCCATCTCAGTGGAAATCAGAATAACGCTGCTCCGAGTGGTGGCCATCTCCCATTTCTCAGGGCGAGAAGCTGGTCCCAGCGGAGCCATCTAACACCAGAGCGCGCTGGCCCAGCTCTGTGCCCCTAAACATTGCATCTCCCTTGGACTTTGCTCCTACTTCAGGAGGGGTGAGCAGACCTTGCATTCAAAACTGAGTTTTCTTATTTCTTGAGGACTCCAGAGACTACCACAAGACCAAGGAGGGGAATGCAGAGCCCAGTGCTGAGCTGCTCTCAGCCCTGGCTCCTGTAGGATCACAGGGAAGGGATGCGCCGGGAGGACGCCGCGCCGGGGCCATCTCGGAGCCATGCCGCTGGCACAACGCTGGGCGAGAAGCGAAGGCCGCACCAGCCGGAGGGGCTCCTGCCCAGGAGCCTCACTCCGAGGCATGACCCAGCTCCAGCTGCATCAGGGTTTCCCCCCTCGCCAGGTCCCAGAATAACTCCGGAGAGGAGGGTTTTCCT